TGACTGGTTTCTTTCCTTTTTAGCAGCTGACTGATCTTTTTTGTTTTTGTCAAATGACTGGTCACGTCCAACTTTAGGATATGGTTGCAAATGAAAGCAAGACTCATTAGTTGATAGATTTATACTATTTGGTAAATACGCCTGAGATGTTTTTACATTTAAAGAAAACAGATTCCTCCTTTCTAACACGTTGGGTTGATAATTAATAAAATTCAGAGGGAGCAGCGGTAAATATGGCGGCGGGTTACTAACAACATGAGGATTGAAAGACAAACTTGAAACATTGTTAAATGGTTGTTGAGGTAAAGCATGTTGTACGAAAGATTGCTTTCCAAGAAAATTATTCTTTCCATAATCGATTTGCTTAATGTAAGAAAGCACAGGAAATAACTCGTCAAAAAATCTAAAAACAAAATAATATCATACTTTTTGTTCACCATTTTTATCACTGCCAACTTTGATAATTTTACCACTAAAAAAAATTCAATAGATGTATTTTAATAAGATATTTAAAACTCGCAAAATAAACAACAATATTGTTTCTGAAATAAACAAATCTATACTTTGCAAAAATATAATCTGCAAAATAAACAGGTCTATCATTTTAAATAATGTAAAAAAAACATACCTATCATTTGGAACAAAATCATTTGTAAAATAAGAACCATCAAAGTAATATTTTTTAATGCTGAGATTTGTTAAATTAGAGAAAGGAGAACCAAAGTGTGAGCGAGCCCTGTTGAAGCATGACATGATTTTATCAAACATATCATCTTTAACACCTGCGGCCAAATTATGGTCAAGATCAAAAGGATCTGAAATTAAATTTAAATTAATAAAAATACTAACAATAACATAACAACGAAATATAAATAAAAATAGTAATACCTTCAATTGCCATAGAGCAATTCCACCATTTCTTCTGACACTTTGAAAGGGAGTTTTTTTGTCGAATTGCTATAACAAATCTTTTGAAAAAAAACTTCTCAACGTAAAAGTTAAAAAATCCAATCCAAAGTTCTGCTAAGGTCTGTTTATTTTTTCCATAATCTTTCCACACTGTATCCTGAAACATTTTAGGTGATTTATGTTTACCTTACATATCATTTTGTTTACCATATAATATATATACTGTCTGTAATATACTAAATAGCTTATAACTTATTGTTGTTAAAATTTATTCTAAGCAATTAAAATAACTCATGTATACAATAAATTACATGCTTTAAAGAAATTTATTAAAATGGTTTTATTTAGGTGTAATACAACTTTTTCAAATAAACAATTATAACAACTTATTTAAAAATAATGAATACTTAAATATTTGAATATGGTATAATGAAATATTTAATATACAAAATAAAGTAACCTCCTTAACTGCTGCCTAACTGTTGCATTCTGTTGGGAATTAAAAAACAAAAAATGCATTAAGCGGCTTTACTACACTACAAATGTTCAACTATTATTAAAAAAATTACTAAATTTTTTGTTGTTGTTGTTACAACCCTTCCCCTCTAATCACAAGACAACTGTAAAAAGATGAGGCGAGGTTCTAATTCCAAAATATTGTTGTTACAAACCTTCCCCATTTTAATCACAAAACAACTGTAAAGAGACGATGTTATAACTCCAAAATATTGTTGCTAGAATCCTTTGACACCTCTCTAATACAGGACTGCAAAGAGATGTGATAGTGTTTCAACTCCAAACCTCTCACCATTGAAACACACACCGATGCTCCATTAAGAAATATAACTTTTATCAATGTTAGAATAATCATCTTTCTTTCTGGTTTATAATAATTGCCTTTTTTAAAAATGTAATAACAATAAAAAATAAATATATAATATTTTTACAAGATTTTGAATATCATCAAAAAACCATGTATCTTTTCCATCAATTAAGAATGTCTTTTTTTTATCAACTGCAAGTTCTTGTAAAACAGGAATAACTGGTGGTTCACAATGTTGCAGATAGTATAACATTAGTAAAATGTATGCATATGAAGAGAGACTACCACGAGAAGCATCACCTATGTCACAAATCTATAAAAAGACAATACTACATGTAGATATTCTTATAAAATAAAGTTACAAGCAAAAGCATAACTTATTTCAAAAATCTACAAAAAACCATTTAAATTTGTACATTAAATGTCTTTTGTAAGATTTGAAAACTATTGTCTTTAGCTTCACTTATTTTGTATAACTTTTTGCATTATATACATAAAAGGATCATAAAACATGAATCACTGAAGTAAAAATGAAAGTAAAATATTTTATAAAGTTCACAGTGATTGACCAAAGTAAAGCTTGCGAAAATTTAAGATTTTTACATTTGTTTTAAATTTTTTTTGTTATAAAATTGTATAACTATTTACATTATTATAACAAAACGTACATTAATGTAAGTTTAAAATAATAAACAAGTCAGTTCAATCTTAATTATTTTCATTCAAAAAATTAATTTTCACACAGGAAAAAACCTTAAAACTTAAATATCGAATACAATTTAACCACTTAATAACAAATCAGCTAATAACTAATTCCCTATCAAGAAAAGGTAAGAATCCAGAAATGGAGGGCTAACCTTAGGCAACATTACTTCACATTACTTGTCTCTCAAGAAAAGGAAAGAATCTAGAAATAGAGGGATAACTTTAGGCAAAATGATAGTATCCAGATGAAGTACAAAGTCCTATGGCTTACCTTCTTGTTGGTGCACTTTGTTAAGTAAATTAGGATTAAATTTACATGTCTAATTTATGAACGAAATAGCCAAGGCAACATTTGTGAAAATTTCTATTAAAAATAGATACTACAAAAACAATACAAAACAAATTTAGTTATTATTTAATGACATAAAAAGCGGCGTCACTTCTTCAAAAAAGCCTTCCAGGATGTCTGCCCCATCCTTGCTACGCCTTTTTCTGTCCCTCCTCTTTTGAAATTGATTGTACTTAAACTCTTAGAAAGAATGGGGAGTGGGTTCTATGAAAAAACTTAACCTTGTAAACACCCTTGTAAATTGCTAGATCCACCCTATAGAGTGCTAATTATTTGTCATTTTAGTTACTTGGAGTCACTAATTTAGTTAGTTGGAGTGCTCTTTATTTGCCATTTTGGTTCAAACACATTTGATAACTTATTATAAGTTCCTTGTGGGATTAGTTCTAGATAAGGTAATCATCTTCCTTATAACTTAGACAGATCTTAAAAACCATGTTTGTCTATTAATATATATATATATATATATATATATATATATATATATATATATATATATATATATATATATATATATATATATATATATATATATATACATTAAAGTTGTTCAGGGACCCAAAAATAACCAAAAACGGATTATTTTAAGTGTCTTGAGGCAAGGCTAGCATAAATATTTATAACAATATTTTTTTCATGATTTAGATAAATATCTGTATTTTTGGTTAAAAAAGTATGGTTTTTTCTTTCTTCTCAAAAAAACAGTATAATTTACATTTTAAATCGGCTAAAACATTAATTACGTTATGTGGCGTTGGTAATAACTTTTTCAACAATTAAATTTAAATTTTGTTATTTAGATTCATAATACAGTTTGCAAATGTATATATTCAAAATTAGAATAGAATTACTCATTTTATGTACGTTTATTATTTGTAATACTTTAATCAGAATAAAATAAAATACTCCTTAGTTATGACTACAATTTACTATTTATTATTTGTTTTCAAAAACCACACTTCGCATTTTTTTTACTTTTTTGCAAAATTTGGAGATTTGATTGCGAAAATTTTTCCTTATGTGCAGTATCAATGATATTCTGAAAAAATCAAACATGTGCCAAAGTACCTTACATCATTAGTAAATATGCGGTATATCAAGTGGTCTTTAAAAACAAATCATTAACAATTAAGAAATAAAAATGTTTTTTTCAAATTTACCGAAAATGTTGATTTTGTAACATACGTGGTTTTTGCATATTGCGATTCAATTTTACTCATCAAATCAAAAAAAATATTTTAAATATTTAAAAAGTTTTTGTAAGTTCCTTCTACAGTTTATCTTTTTTTTTGTTCGTGTTTTGTTTATTCGCCAAGGAGGAAAGACTATCAGATAATCTTTTTTTTGTAAGACTAGTGGAGCTTTTCCCAGAAATCCTGAAAGTAGAGCGAACTGAGTCAACTGATATCAATCTATTCTGTTTTTTCTCTTTGTTACTGTAACGATGGACATATTGCTGCATAATGCCGACGGTTCTTTCCGAATAGTCATTGACAACAATAAGGCTATTGGCATAATTTTCAAAAATTTTAAACGAAGACTGTCTATGCCAGTATTACGGTGGAAGTGAAAGCCAGTCTTTTATTCTTTCTTCAGTTAAACCACTAAAACTAAATATAAGGTAAGAAAACTCATCTACTAAACGGGCTCGGTGGATCTTGCTCTTGATCTTGCATTCTTTCATTCTCTTTTCTGATGTCTTTCTTTTTTGTTTTCATTTTTAAAATGTTCAGCCTTGGGCATTTTAAATGAAAGAACTGCAGCTGCAATTTTTTGTTTTTCATGCGAAGACAAATCCTCATCCAATAGAGCTAGTGGAATCATAGTTAAGTCTAAGTACTAAGTGTGCTTGTAAAGCAAGTCAAGCACAGCATCAACTGCTTTTGGATTCCAACATATATTTCTAAATTGATGCATCTGATGGATAGCTTTAATATCTAAGTTGGGGGCCAATTGACACATAACTTGATTCTAAATACCACTTGGCATAAAAAAAGACCACAAACTCCGCAATAAGCTTTCTTTTTTTTCTCCGCAATAAGATTTTTTTATATATATATATATATATATATATGTATATATATATATATATATATATATACTTCGATCTTTTTTTTGAGATCATTATTACTTTGAACAAATTCAAGTTGACAAAAGCTGAAGAAAGCAAAAGCTTCAGATAGTAAATTGCTTTACCAAGAAAACGGGCATGATGGATAGCTCCAGTTTTTCTGATTTTATAAACAGAAGGGGATAGATAAGTCACAACTAATTCAGCCAGCTCTTTTCTGTCTTCTTCTCCTGCTATCTCCTTTCTTTCTATATATGCTTTGCAAAAGTTCATAGAACCTTCAACAGCCTTTTCACTTATACTACCTTCCATTTAAATTTGCACAGATCACTTGGGGCATAACTAAAATTAGGAAGTTCAAATAGGCTCTTAAATTTTTGGAACAGTAAGTTTTCTGGTCCTTTAGTCAACTCGTTTGTTGTATGTTTCCAAAAATGCAACATTCTTAATTCTGTTATGTGATGCTTGTCTGCTAATTTTAAAAGATATTTATTTAAATTAATGGATATTATTTTGATTGAACCATTTTTGATCCCAGTTTTGCTTGCAGTCGTATCAAAACAAAGACCTCCTGCTTTTGATTCAAGTTTATATTCCTTTAGTAGGTTCATAATACTTGTATATTGATCCTCACCAGAAGAAGAAATTAAAAAAGGAACACCTAGTAGGTGCGTCTCACCCTCAATGTTCACAAGAACTGCCAGCCTGTCAACCTTAAACTTTTTTCCTGCATTAATTTCATAAAGAGTTTTTTCATCAAACTGTATAACACATGGATAAGGAGAAGCTTCTATTGCATTTATTATATCCTCTTTTGCTAAGTTTGATAATAGTTTTTATAATATTTGATAATAGTTACTAGGCTCAAAATTAGAACCATAAGATGAATCAGAACTCAAATCAGAATTGAGTTCAATATCATAATTAGATTTTGTTGATCGCACATCCTTCGTTCTATTTTTCTTTCTGTTACTCTTTGCTGTCTTTAAGCATAAAATAACATTAATTATAACAAAATGTTTTATAAGAAAAATATCAGTTAATACTTTTAATTCTTAAGTTTTACCTTTCTACTAAATTTCTTATCTTCTGTGTCAAGAATAATATTTCTTTCTCCTTCCTGATCTTCTAAAAACATCAAGTCTTCGACCTTATCCTTGTCAGACCTTTTTTTGTCGGCCCTAATAATGTTTTTCAAATCTAGCTTGCCTACCCAAAAAAAACCTTTTTTAAGTAATTTTCGAAGTTTTTCTGATTTGTTAAATCTTTAGGAGAACCTCTTTTTCGTTTTTTTTTTTTAAATTAGAATACTGCTTGTCAAGTTTAATAAGATTTTTGAATAGTTGAGTGTCACTAACAATTTCAAACCCTTCTTTTATCCAGGGTTTCTTTACCTTAGCTAAAACACAGTTACAATCCAAATTTTCACACCTTTCAAAATTTTTACGTAACCAAACTGATTTTTTTGGTGGTTTATATAGCGTAACCAAACTGATTTTTTTGGTGGTTTTAGGCAGTATAGATTGCAGATATGTTGGAAGTTGAATATCTAAATGCATAATTGTTTTTGTTCATTATATTTTATTAAGATAATTTAGATCACTATCTATTTTAAATATATAATATACATTAAATTTTTCTAAGTTTCTTACAAACTAGAAATTACCTGTAACTTTTGGTTTGTTTTCAAACTCGCACTTTTCGTTTCCTTTATACATATTTCTTGCAAGTTTAGTATTTATCATTATCATTAATCTAAATAACCAAGAATATATTTTTAAATACTATAAAAGCTCAAAAAATACTTAATATATTATTTAAATATTTGCTTTATTTTGTATAGTTAAATTTCACTTGTTAAACGATATATACAACACATTATATCTTAAATTGTGATTCATATTGCTTCTTTTCAAATTACAAATATTGTACTTATAAGTTAAGAACATATTCTTTTGTTTGGTAATGGTATTAAACATACATAAAATGAGTAATTCTATTCTTATTTGAAATATACACATTTGCAAAATATATTATGAGTCTAATAAACAAAGTTTGAATTTAATTATTGAAAAGGTTATAAAAACAACACCGCATCGAGTAACAAACGTTAGTTAGCCGATTTAAAATGTAAATTATATTGTTTTTTGAAAAGAAAGAAAAAAAACCATACTTTTTTAACCAAAAATACAGATACTTATCTAAATCCTGAAAAAAAAATTTAACACAAATATTTATGCTAGCCTTGCCCTCAAGACACTTAAAGTAACCCGTTTTTATATATATATACATATTTAGTAGTATTTTTTATTTTATTTTTTGTATTTTGTTGGAAGAAGAAAACAAAATTATAGCATTTGTATTTTCAACATTTTTCTTTTCTCTTTAACATTAAAAATAATTTCATAAAAAGTACATTATAACATTACTTATGTTAACAAATATTTGTAAAGGTAATACATTTTTTTTTCTATATGATAATTTATTAGAAAACCTCATATTCATAAACAATTTTAAATTATTCATTTTTTTAACTTTACTGATATAAATATGATAGTAGTTTAAAATTATTTGTGTTAATATTGTACTGAAAAAAGTTATTTGTTTTTTCTATTTTACCATTATGTAGTGTGGTATTATGTCTGAATGGTGTTGCGTAAAGTGGCTTGAAGAAGACAAGGTTTACTCTGATACTGTTTCTTTAAGTTGGATTAAAGGTAAAGTTTTGAGATGGCCAAAAAAAGGGGCTGAAAAAAAATTAAGAGACCAGATTGAACCTCAAGATGATTGGTTTAAATTTCAAATTCTCAAAATTAAACTGATAACGATTTTATGACATTTTAATATTATATGCCATTCATATAATATTACAACTGACTGTTGTGCCATTCATATAATATTACAACTGACTGTTGTGACATTCATATAATATTACAACTGACTGTTGTGACATTCATATAACATTACAACTGACTGTTGTGACATTCATATAATATTACAACTGACTGTTGTGACATTCATATAATACTACAACTGACTGTTGTGACATTCATATAACATTACAACTGACAGTTGTGACATTCATATAATATTACAACTGACTGTTGTGACATTCATATAATATTACAACAGTCAGTTGTATAATATTACAACTGACTTTTTGATTTTAAAAAAGATCTTAAGTTGCAAAAAAAGGTAAAAATTAATTTTTGTGTTTGGATATTAAGTTATTTAGTATTCTTATATTTATTTTTAAATTTTTTTTATTTATTTAACTATTTTTTGGAATTAATTTTTTTAAGATAATTTTTTTTTAATCAAATTTTTTGTTTATTGAATTATTCATTTTTTAATCAATTCTTTTAAGCAGTTTGCAGTACACTTCCTCCAAAGCCTGAAATCAAATTATGTTTTAGAAATAAAAAAGTGTTTTCTCCAGAAACAGAAAAAGAAAAACAGAAAAAAAACACCTAAATTTTACACAAAAACCTCAGAATAAAATAAATATTGATTTGAATCAACCTACTTGGTCAGTATTATTAAGTTTTCAAAATGCATCAAAATTTCAAGAAAATCAATCTCTTCTAATAGTTCTTGTTCACTATCTCCTCAGAGTGAAAGTAAAAGAAGACCAGATTATTGTTCTTTTTTAAAAAGATTTTTTTTTTTAGTATTTATACATATTAAAAAAATGCTACGCATAAAAAATGTTACACATAATATTTTTTACTTTACTTTTTACATAAATCAGTTATTATATTTATGTTATGGAGGCATATTATATTAAAAGAATTACAATTAAAGATAAACTTTTATAAAAATTTATCCTGCAGTTTAATAAATTATGTGTAATAAATTATGTTAAAATACATATTTGTTAAATACTTTTATTTTTTTGTCTATAAAGTTCCAGTACAAAGTCATCAAGTTACTGTGTTAAATCAAAACATGTTTACAATGTCCCAAAAGTACATTATCACAAGTAAGGGAATTCCAACCCATTAGAAGATTTGAATGATTTTGAACTAAAAACGCATAATAGTTTTGCACAAGAATTTGTGAGTTATATTTTAATATATTTAACACAATTTAGAGAGAAAAAAAAATAACATGGTTGTTAACCAATTGCTTTTGCAACTAATGTCACCTTATTTATAACCTATTTATGTTTAAACTAATTAGGTTGTAGCATAACTATAACTTAAGTATTAATAAATAATTTTTAAAAATATATTACATAATAATTATTAAATAATTAAAATGGTTAAAAATATATTACACTAATATAAAATTTTTCATGTAAATTATTTCAATGGGGCATATATATTTTTTTCTCTTTAAGGTTAAACAACTCTTTTATTATCTATTTAGGTAACTTTCCACATATTGGTAGAAAGTTACCTAAATATATGGTTAAAGACCTAATTCAAAGGTAATTTTTGTATTTTTAAAATTTGATTTTTATGTTACATTTACTTCATATCACTATTAAGGTATAAACAGCATAAATTATCATAAAATACTAAATAATATCTTTTAGTTATTTTATTTATTTTCATCTAAGGTTGATGTCAAATGAGCTTCAGATAAAATTCAGTATGGTTGGTCTAAAAGGAAAACTTAAGTTTAAAAAAACTTTGTTGGATAATGTAATAAATAGTGAGTTTGTTTATAGATTGTTTGTTTATAGATTGTTTGTTTATAGATTGTTTGTTTATAGATTGATTGTTTATAGATTGATTGTTTATAGATTGTTTGTTTATAGATTGTTTGTTTATAGATTGTTTGTTTATAGATTGTTTGTTTATAGATAGTTCGTTTATAAATTGTTTGTTTATAGATTGTTTGTTTATAGATTGTTTGTTTATTGATTGTTTGTTTATAGATTGTTTAGGATTATTGCTATTACAATATTTGGCGTACGTGTATTGCAGACACCCCCATTTAATAAGTCCGTAAAAAACAAGTTATATTTAACGTATAACATTTATTGAAAATTATATTTTACCCTGAAGCCAACTATAAAGTTTATTTTATTTTATATTACATTTCATTTTTAACTTCACCTATTTACAAAAACAATTAATTACAATAATATAACCAAATTTAAACCTTGCCATATCCCTAACCCTAAGCCTGACCTTGATGCCTGCCCAAACCAAACCCTCAATCGATGTAGCAGCACTCCCTTGCGAGTCAGGCTATTTCTCAGTCAATGTATGTACTTTTCGTTCTCTATAAAAGTTTCTTACGAGTACATTTTTTTACAAAAAAAATCATACTTATGGGACAAAAATTAACGGGTACACTAAAATGTCCCCATAAATGTTCGTTTTTTTGTAAAATCTGTCCCTGAAAGTGCTAAACTATACAAATGAATATACATATACATATATATATATATATATATATATATATATATATATATATATATATATATATATATATATATATATATATATATATATATATATATATATATATATATATATATATTAGGTTGACCGGAAAGTAATGTCGTATTTTTACGTCAAATTAAAGCAAATAATTTTTTTATAATATTTATTTTTAATCAATGATATAATCACCCTCATTTTCCACAACCTTTTGCCATCTAGCGGGCAAATTTTCTATACCAGATCGAAAAAAATGTATTGGTTTGTCATCAAAATATCTGGAGATGCCATTTTTTAAGCAGTACAAAGTTTGAAATTTTTTGTCACTTAGAAAGTGCTGTAAGGATCGGAACAAATGAAAATCTGAAGGGGCGATATCAGGTGAATATGGAGGGTGGGGCAGCACCTCCCATCCCAATTCATTAATTTTTTCTAGCGTCCGTCGTGCACAGTGCGGCCTTGCATTGTCATGTTGAAGAATGACACCTTTTCTGTTGACGATAGCCGGGTAATTCTCAACTAGAGCTTGGTTCACTCGATCCAATTGTTGACAATAAAGGTCCGCATTAACAGTTTGTCCAGGAATAAGCACTTCAAAGTGGACAATTCCGCGGATGCTCCACCAAACACACAGGAGCGCCTTCTTGGGGTGTAATCCCGGCTTTGCAGTACTGCGTGCTGGTTCGTTTGGGGAGAGCCACTGCCTTTTGCGTTTTGGATTTTCGTATAGGACCCATTTTTCATCTCCAGTGACCAAACGATCAAGAAACGGTTCTGCATGGTGCCGTTGAATCAATGCATTGCACGTGGTTGATCTGTTGGCTTTGTTTTGCACTGACAAGTTATGGGGGACCCAAACACCTGCTCTGCTGATTTTTCCTATCTGGTGTAAATGTTCTTGGATGGTCGACCAAGGTTGGTTAAGGGTGTTCGACAATTCTTCAATGGTTTGGCATGGATTTGCTTCAACTTCTGCCCTTAGAACGTCGTTGTTTAATGACATTGGTCTTCCTGGTCGATGGGCGCCAGAAAGATCAAAATTCCCAGATCTAAACTTGGAAAACCATCTTTGGCATTTGCGAACATCTAATGAACCTGGGTAAACATCACTAATGTTCTTAGTCGCAACTGTAGCGTTATTACCCTTGCGAAATTCAAAAAGCATACAATGACGAATATGCACTTCCTGTATTTCGTATGCCATTTCACTCCAATTTGTAAAGAAAACTATTTAATTTTAAATAATTTAGAAGTAAACAAGTCACACTAATATAAAAATAACCTGTGCACGTGTTCGAGATACACAATAAACTGGCCAACGATTATCGAATGTCAACATGCGCAAAAACGACATTACTTTCCGGTCAACCTAATATATATATATATATATATATATACATATATATATATATATATATATATATATATATATACATATATATATATATATATATATATATATATATATATATATATGTATATATATATATATATATATATATATGTATATATATATATATATATATATATATATATATATATATATATATATATATATATATATATACATATATATTTATGATTCTTTCTGATGAGTCTTTATTGATGAAACACAGTGTTAAATGAGAAAAAATTTTGCTAAGTATAAATCTCTATATATAATTATGTTTAGGCTGGATGGTATTTTTAATTTGCCAAATACTATCCCATTTTTTTACTCCACTTTGAGCACCGGTCTTTTAAAAAACATATATTAAAGCACAATGGCAGAAAGTGGTAAAGTTGGTGTTTCTCCTCCAATGTTAGATTTAGTTGTAGATAGGCATGATTATGTGTTGTTGTCTTATTTATAGAAAAAACCATTTGTATATCAAGCTGCTATGTTGAGGTATAGGTTTTTTTCAGAAACTCGAAACATTTTGAATTATTAAGTCTAACTAAAGATGAAAAAAAAAACCTTCTGTTATATTGGAAAAAATGTAAGTCTTTGTTAAGGGTAATATTAATGAAACTTTGGAAAGACATAAATATTTTAAACGTTTTCAAGAAGATGTTGAATGTTTTGATGACTTCTTGACAGAAGTTAAGTTATTAAGTAAAAAGTGCAATTTTTGTAAAACAGCCGGTTGTCTTAACTGTTTATTAAGAGATAAAATTGTATCTGGGATATGATGTGACAAAGTACGAAAAAAAAATTACTTTCTGAAAAGATGTTAACACTAAATAAAGCAGTAGAAAGTTGTTGTTTTTCCAAAAAAGCACAAGATGATGTATGGGGATGATGCACGATACAGATGGTGATCTGAATTACAAAAAATAAAAGAAAAATGTTGACTGGATCGGACAACAATTATACAACAGAAAAATGTTCAATTCACAGACACTGGCAATGAAAGAGACTTCAGTTTAAACTCATTGGCGTGTAAATTCTGTTTAAAAAAAAGTCAAGAATAATGTTTAGCATGGGGTAAAAAATATAGAGACTGTAAAACTATGAATCATTTCTTAAATAGCTCAGTTTGCCTAAAAACAAAATCAAATATTTCATATAGAGTGGCTGATCAGCAAAACAAAATAAAATTTTTTCAACCTTAGAGCAGCATTTAGGGCCATTGTATTAAGGAAGTATGAAATGTGATATTGTGCAAATAATTTGGATTAGTTCTGTGCCAAAAGGACCTTGGGAAATACAACTAAAAGCAAAAAATGGTATAATAAAATTCAAAATTGACACTGGTGCTGAAGTTTCCTTTATTGGACCTAACCATTTAAAAAGGTTTGGAAATAAAATCAATCAATTACATACTAGCAACAGACAATTATTAGTTCCTGATCATAAACCACTAAATTGCTTAGGATATTTCCAAAAATCATTTGTAATCAATGGTCAGAACAGTGAGTTACCATATATGTTTTTAAGAATGTAAAAACTGCTTTATTAGGTAAACCTGCTTTACAAACGTTTAACCTAGTCAGAATAGACATTCCTGAAAAATTTATTTGTGGTATGATTAAAAAAACCAAAAATTGGAATGAATTAGTTTCACTAGGCTAATAAAAATTACTTAATAATTGTTGATAATTATAGGTTGTGGCCTGAAGTTTTTCTGCTTTCAAATACCAATTTGATAAATGTAATACTAGCATGCAAAGAACCTTTTTCTAGAAATGACATCCCAGAGGAATTGGTTTCAGATAATAATACACAATATATTTCAAAATTGTTTCATCAAGTTTCTCAACAGTGGCAATTTAGGCACATAATAAGTAGTTTGCACGAACCAAGATCAAATGGCTTAGCTGAAGCCACTGTTAAATGAGTTAAAATTATGATAAAAAAGTGCCACATGTCAAACAAAGAATTTTTTAATGTATTCTAATATTGTGCAATACTCCAATAAAATATAACTACTACATGGACGACAACTAAAAAATAATATACCTAAATTTCAAAATCAAAATAAAAAACCATATAAAAGATCTTGAGACACCAATAAAGAAAGAATTCAATCAAAAAACTACCATGATAATTATTATATATTTTTTAATATTAATTCCATTCAGAGATGTACTAGATTAAGAACTTAAATTATAATTTTCTTCTAATAAAATTATTATAACTGACAATTTACCTCTGTCTACATACATTTTTCCATCATTACATTTGAATAAAATTTCTAACAAAATTAATGACTATGTTTCATCTTGTGTTTTAGATTCCAATGAAGAAATCTGTGCATCACTAGACATAACTTGTAAATATTGACATAGACAAATATTGTTCTCTAAAGTTTGACAAAATAAACGCACTTTCATTTTATCACCTAAACATTTCATTGCTGCAAAAACACTTTGAGGATTCAAACATATTTTTATCATTAATTAATTTTGAGTTTTCTATTCTTGCTGAAGAAATTCATTCAATTCATCCAATTCTCATTAATAACTACAACAGGGGACATTGTTATACTTGGCAAAAATGTTAATATACAAACGAAGAGATGATTTGATGATTTATTCACCTAATTTTTTAGAACCCACTTTTGTTGAATGAATTTTTTTCAAAAAATCCAATATTATTGTAGAATGCATTTATAGACATCCTTGCATGGACGTAAATATTTTCAATAAAAATATCTGCAGAAAAAAAAATCTGTTTTCTTATTGGGTGATTTTAATATAGATTTGATACAATCAAGTAAAACATTGCGACCTGTGATTTTTTATACTTACTTTCTATTTATAATATTTGCCCTTTTATTACTTTGCCAACAAGAACTACTGAACACTTAGCTACAATCATTGACAATATTTTTTTTTTTTAATTTAATAACTAATGATACTATTTCTGGAAATTTGACAACTTCTGTCTCTGTTCACCTACCTCAATTTTGTATTTGTCCTAATTTCAACAAACTATTTATACCATGGAGTCACAAAATATATTGTAGAAATTTTAAAAAACTTTGATAAGGAAAAATTTAGATCTGTCTTATTAAAGTGTGATTGGGATGATGTTATAAAAAACAGTGACACTAAATCTTGTTTCCATAAGTTTATTACTGAAACAACATCGATTTTGGATCGCTATACCTCACTCAAAAAGATTAATATTAAGGACTTCAAACATTGATTTAAACCATGGATTATAAAAGGAATCATAAAATCTATTCAAATACAATCTTTTTCACATAAAAATGTTAAGATCAAAAGATTTAATAAATATAAACACATTTAAAACTATTTTTAAGCAATATAAATTCATGATAATTACTTTAATTAGATTTAGCAAGAAAATCCATTATGAAATTTTTTTTTCAAATAATGTAAAAAATCTTCGCGAAATTTGGAAAGGCATTAATAATCTAATAAATGTCAAAAATGATAACAGCTCATCTCCAAACTGTTTATAAGATAATGATAGATATTTAACTGAACCGACTCTATTCTCTGAAAAATATAACACTTTTTTTATAAATGTTGCTCATAAACATAAATCCAATATTTATTCATCTTACATCAACTACCAAAAGTATTTTAAATACCCAAACTTACATAGTCTACTCTTATCTGCAACAAACATTCCTGAAATTTCATCTCTTATATCTAAATTGAAGCAGAATCATTAGGTCCAAACAGTCCTACAAACATTCTTATTGATTCCTACAAACATTCTTATTGATTCCTACAAACTTATTGATTTTAACTACGAATTTTTAAATATTCTCTTTAAACTATTTAATATCTCATTCATGAATGGAACTTTTCCTGATATTTTAAAATTATCTTGTATTATTCCAATTTTCAAAAATGGCTCAAAACTTTACATCCATACTAATCATTAACTTATCATAATAAGAATAACATATAATTTTACTTATTATTATAGTAATTATTATTATTTATAATTTTTTGTTGTTGTTATTATCATTATTATTGTTATAAATTATTACTATTGCTTATTATTTTATTATTATTGTTGTTATAATTATTTACCTACTTATTGTAAAAATGATTTTAAATTGGAAGATAAATAGCTTGTTGTTGTTGTTGTTTTTATAAAAATAGTCCTACTTTAGTACCATACCTTTTCAAGCAAGGTCAAAATGTGGCAATTCAAGATCTCGCATCTCGCAAATGGAGCCTTAGAGGTAAAATAATAAAGTGTGTAGCTCCTACACATAGATCATGTGAAGTCAAATTTAATCACAACAAACATGTTCAACGTCAAAACCAAATTCTTCTTAGAAGATTGTATACTATATTTGCTCCACACAGGACTCGAGATAATGCGGAGATAATGGTGCACAAAAGAATAATAGCAGAAGCAAAAAAAAATCCCAGAGGAGATTAACAAAAAACAAATAATACAAGTATCAAGTTGTGAAAAAAAAAAAAGAGTGAAAAGCCACTAGATTATAAAAATTTATAAACTAGCTTTACTTCTTATTATAACAATTATATTTGTTTTGTTTTATGTAGTACATGTGTTATAATTATATACATGTATTACAGCTTGATCAGATAGATCGGTACCTGTCTTTTAAAAAAGATATATTATAAACACAACAATAGATAACAAGTATAAAGATATGTAATGACATCAAGGTCTACAATATAGAGAAAGACTAATTCTTTTATTGCCAGTATATTAGAAAATAATAATTGTCAAAGTTCAACTGGTGAGTTTTTTTCTAGTCGAATTCATAATAGTATTGATACTTTTGGAAGTGATTCTACATTATCTATAACTCTTTTCAACAAGTAATGATTTTAGTAATTCTTTTGAGTCCATTCTGAACATTGTGCTGATTTGTCACATGATTTTGCTCAGTGGGCAGTTAAACATGCAGCTACACCTTTTTTATTAAATGATTTGCTTATCTTGTTGGGCAAACATGGACACGAGGACCAACCTAATAGTTCTAAAACTTTACTTAAAATGCATAATTGTGTGATTACTGAAAAAATATGCTTTGGTGACTACATTTATCTAGGTTTAGCTACTGGTATTAAAAATATGCTCCAAGATGATAAAGCAAGTATTAATACCAACATACACTTAATAGTAAATTTAGATGGTCTGCTGCTTTTTAAATCTAGCAATACCTAGCTTTAGCCTTTATTTGCCAGTTCTAAACCTCTATTTACTGTTACTTTTCACTGTGGCAAACAAAAACATTCTTCTATGGAGTTTCTTAAACAGTTTTAGGAGGATTTCAAAATGATTTCAGAAAATGGTCTTGTTTACAAAGATAACTTTTTTAATGTCAGTTTAAAGTTTTGGACATGTGATGCTTCGGCACGTGTTTTTATTAAATGTATAAAACCACACAATACTTACCACAGCTGTGAACGATGTATTGAAAAGGGTGAATGGCAAGAGAGAATTGTTTTTAATCAGGTTAATTCTGTTGTTCATTCAGACAAACGATGTTAAAATGTATTATAAAGATCATCAAGTATAGAAAATGACTTGATATGTCTGTCTTTTTATTTAAAAATTATTTGCAGTCTGAAAAGATTGATTTATGGTAAGAACATGCCACTTGCTCAAATTGTCAAGCATTTAGGAGAAATAAATTGTTCAAATAATAAATTTTTGAGAAAAAAACACAAACCAAAAGTGGTCACTGGCGGTAAAGATAGCTGGGTTTTTTTTTGAAAAGTGGTTATTTGGCGCAGGTTATTGAAATGAATATTGATTCTTTACTTTGCAAAATAATTCCATGTCGCTTTTTTAATGACTTCTTTGTTGTACCATGCAGTTTAAGTTATAACAAAATGTTATCTGTGCCAAAAAATGTCTCTGTAAAAAGAAAAACTGTTCAAAATACTGAACTCAAACTTAAAGTTATTAGTAAGAGTAGAACAAGAAATGTTGTTTTACCATTATGTCATGATTGTGTGTATTAAATAAATTCTATTTATTTTTTTTATTTAAATTTTTTTTATTGTCAGTTGCATTAATTTTTGAATGCAGTTTATTAAGAATCATTAGTTATGCAATACACTATATGGTAAATATATTCCCTACTATTTCAACATTTATGTTGAATATAATATATTTAATAATGACATTTTGTGAAATTTTGTTTAACTTAAGATATTTTTCAATCGAAAATTAATTTTCATCCTTTCAAACATCCTAATTTAAATATTAAAATTTTTAAAATTTGAATGTTTCAATTAGGATGTTAGAAGCATGGTGTTTTATAAAAATTTGTTATTTTAAATAATTTAACTTTGATAGTTATAATAGAAGTTAAGTTTATTTTTTCTATTTCAAAGGATTTTACTCAAAGATTTGCTGTCAATAATTTTACAAAAAAAGGAAAACTCAGGTGAGGATCAAATAACAAGTTAGATCAATTTCTGGTATTTATGGTATTTCTTTCTATTTGTTATTTATAATGTAATGACATTTTTCCGCTGATTCATTTATAACATCATACAAACGTCTTTTCAACGATATGGAAGACGTTGGAACAACATTGAAACAACGTAACTTTTTTTATTGGGTACTGTATAATTAACTATTGCAATTATCTGATAAAGATTATAAAAACTCTATTTAAACTATAATATACAAAAAATAAAAATAATAATAATAATAAGAGTAATAATAAAAAAAATAACAATCGTCGCTGCATCCCAAGTCCATTTTTGCTGTTTTGAGAAAAACCCATTTAAAGTTTTTAATTTATTAAAAACTTAAATGCGTTTTTAGTTTAATAATTGTTTTTACAATTTAATAAACAAGAAGATCAAACTGCGTCTTCTTCATTAAACTAAATTGTTTTTAAAATACTTATAGAATGTTATTATGTTATTATTTTTCATAATGTAACAAATAAAAAATTAAATTTTAAGTTTATAAGAAGCAACAATGCAAATGGACTTAAGAGATGGTCTTAAAGCTATATAAAATATGTCAAAATTCTACAAATTAAATTGCCGCTGCAAAACAAGACAATCTTAAGTCCATTTTATTGTTCTGAAAAAAAAACATTTAAAGTTTTAAATTTAATACTGCTTCTTATTTTTTTAAATATTTTTAAATCTACTTGTTTTCAGTTATTTATTATATGTGTTAAAGTATTTTTAACCAAAAAAGTTTTTTTGGTTAAAAATACTTTAAGTTGGACTTGAGATTTTGTTTTGCAGCAATGATGTCGCTTAACTATTTTTTTTCAAGACAAATAACAATGAAAATAATTAGAACAATTTTAGATTATGTAAATAATATGCCCCTTTAAATCAATGTTGTTTAAAATATGTTTTAAAAATAAAAATATGTCTGTAGACCACATTTTTTTTATTAACTAAAAAGTAAAAAATATACTTACTTTTGCAAAATACTTGATGCAGTAACCCATAATTTGTACTCTGGTGTCGATCATTGCATAAGTTTTTAGCAATTTAGAGTTAGCGATTGCTAAGCAGTTGTATAAACTAATGTCACCTTGAATATTGCTATTTCTTACACAAAATTTAACAATTGGAACTTTGGCAGACATTATAGAATAAACTTTAGAAAAGTTTGAACTTATTCTTAACACTTTTTCTATCAATTCAATAGTAAATTGATAGTTCAAATCTTTTGGTGGAGTATCAATTTCAAAGCATAGACTTATGTCCAAATCAGAATTCCGAAAACCAAAACCATTCACAGAAGAACCAAACAATGAAAGACGGCAACTATCTAAAAACAATTTTATTACATTATTAGAAATATTAATTTAAAACCACAAAACAAATAAGAAAATAAAAAAAATAATATTACAAAACAATCAACCATGAAAAAATAGCTTTAAATGATTCTCAGTTTTCTTCAGAATTTCCAATCGAAAATCAAATTCTTCCCTAGTCATTTCACAAGTTGTCATCACTTCTACACAAACTTGATTAAGAATATCAATATTAGCTTTATTCAAAGGTTGTAAAGGTTTTACTATGAAGTTCTTAACTTTACAAGTAGTGTGACCATGACCATCTGATTTACATGAAGAGCAAAACTTTGGAAATGGAGTTTTTGGGGAAAAACTTGTGGTATGAAAGTAGAAAGATCTAATGTATGAAATTTCCTTTGTAACATTATCTAACAATTCCTTTAAAACCATGTTTATAGCAAAATGTATGACTTGTTCCTCGTCAAGCTTTTCTTTATCATTATCAAGTTTATTTTCACTAACGTTTTTTTTCAGCTCTGTATTCTCTTTCATAAAACGTGATTCAACTCTATCTGTTATTTAAAAAATATCTTATAAAATAGAAATTAAAATAAAATTCATATTAAAGTTCATATAAAAAAAAAAAAACAATAACAAAACTACTTGCTTTTGAAAGAAATGCAGTACTTGTATGTTATTTCCATACACTTTGTAAGATAGTTCATCACTAAAATAAAAAGTTATTTGGGCATAACTTCATAAAATAATAATATATTTATTAAAAGAAAGAGAAAACATTTAGTCAAAATAAAGATTTTGTACTTCTTATTTTTTAAAACCTTATTTTGTACATTGGTTTCTTCTTTTTTACTTTATTTCATATTATTAGTTTTTAAAGCATAAAAATTAACAACAAAATAAGGCAAAATTTTTATTTTTATTATTTATTTATTTTTATTTTATTTTTAGTTATTTTCAATGCAACTTAGTTAAAGATTAGTTTAAGTGAAACAAAAACTTATGACTAAAAATAAAAGCAAGAACAAAAGAAAAAAGTAAAAATTTGAAGCCAGAACAAAGGAGTTTTGGTTTTCAATCAAAAAAATTCAAATTTAAAAACTAAAACTAGTTCTTTTATAGTAGTCTTTTTTTATTGAAAAACTTGTTCAACATTTAATTTTTTTTATTAATTTGGTATTCCACCTTTTTTTTTTTAATTTCTTAAAATTTCCTTCTTATTTGTCTACTCCTTAGATTTAATATTTGATCCCATTTATGTACATATTTAGAAACATTTGCATCAGGACTTAGCCTTTTTTTCAGTTTTTACAGCATTTTTCACTAACTTTCTTAAGTAAATTTTTACCTATCTATGTCTATATTATTTTAATTTATAATACTTTATTTATTTAAATTCAATTTAAAAGTTGTAAATTGAAAGGTTAAAATATTCCTTAACCTAATCTTGTTGTAAGATCCATTTGCGAGTTATTTTATGCTTTGCATGAGCAGCATAACATTCTTTAGGATGTCTAAATAAACTCTCCATAATACCTTCTATGTGATGAATGGGACCCACATTGTCACAACTAAAACATACCCAAACCATAACATTTTCTCCTCCATGACTAACAGTGGGTAACTGATATTTTAGATTAATCTGCCTCCTACTGGGCACCTAACATACCTATTTCCGTCACTACTGAATAGCATAAGCTTTAATTCATCAGAAAAAAAGACTTTTGACCAGTCATTAACTGACTGACTAATATGATCTTTTTCAAATTTTATTCTGGCTTTTAAATTTCTTGCAGATATTAGCGATTTCTTAACTGGACAACAGCCATGGAGATTATTTTGACTTATTCGACAAAATAATCCACATATTAAAATTAGTTTTATTAGTAGTTTAAAGCCCCTGACATTTTATTAGTAGTTAAATAACTACTAATAAAATGTCAGGGGCGAATGCAGCATTATTTTATGTTTGAGATGTCGTATGTTGTATTATAATGATCCAAAGCATCGTGCCAGATCTGTTAAGGAATATTTTAAATCACAAAAAATCAAAGTTCTTGAGTGGCCTTCACAGAACCCAGATCTCAATCGTATTGAGCATCTTTTGAAGTACATCGATCGGAAATTATAATTTTCCTTAGGATATTCTCATTAAATAAATTGATTTAATGCCTCGTCACTATGCTGTTTTAAAAGCAAATGGATATGCCACCAAATACTAAGTACTTTACTAAAACTATTTTATTGTTAAAAAATTGTTACCTTGTGAATTTTAGTAAAAAATTCAGCTTTTTTGAAATAAATATTAATCAAATTCAGTTGTTTCTAAACTTTTGCACGTAAGCTTTTTCAAAAAAACAACTAAATGTTAATTAAACATTCAATTTTACAACTTTTGTGGTTTGTATTTTAAACTGAAATAATATAGAGTACATTTTAGAGCATTAAAATTTCAGCCTAATTATGAAAGTTTGTGAAAGGTTATGCAGTAAAAATTGAAAAAAGTTGGTGTTTCTAAACTTTTGCACAATGTGTCGTGGAGCAATCATTTAAATGCAGTTCATGAATGATCATAAACGGAAGTCACTCACATAAGTTGTGATTTGTCATTTTTATGAAGTTATTGTTATGAAAATAAACTGCTTATGGGTATTTCAAGTAAGATACGTCTATGACTCATACTTGTGGGTATTTTAAGTAAGATACTTCTACAACTCATATTTAATATATTTTCAATGAGAAATGGCATTCATCAATTATTTATAGCTAGAGTATACTCTAGCTATAAATGCTATATATCTATATATATATCAATATATATAAATGCTATATATTTATATATATATCAATATATATAAATATATAGCATTTTGAAAATTATTGGATATTTTTTAAAATGTAACAATATTACACAAAAAAAAAAAAAAAAAAAAAATGTAAATATAATATTTAATTTAATCAGTAGATTAAAATATTTTTGTTGCAATTGTTCTTTAAGAAAATTAAAACAAAATGCATATTGCTTTAAGTCCCAGCTTTTAATTGCTAAAATAAAGAAAAATAAAAAATCATGCACAGAAATGGAAATGCTATATATATATATATATATATATATATATATATATATTATATATATATATATATATATATATATATATATATATATATATATATATATATATATATATATAGCAGTTCTCCTATTTCAGTCGCTAAAGCTTTTTTTGATATTAAATTCCATTAATTTATGAGGTGTTTACTTCTACTTATTCTGCTTCAGCTGTCATTGCTTTAATATCTTGTTCTCTTGGTTTTTTTAGCCTAGAAGTTCATTTTTCAGTTTCATTTGCTTGAAATTTTTGATTTAAGAATAAGAATTTTGAATTAAGAATAGGAATTTTGTTTTTGTAATTTTTTTTACAATTTATTCAATGTTAACTTTTTTTCTACCTCATTTCACTAAATTTTACTTTTTCACTATAACTTACTTCTATTAGCTTGGAATTTCTTCTCTTTTTTTGTTTTTCGCCTTAATATTTGAATTTCTAGATATTTTGACTTTGATGTGTTTTTGTTTACGTTTTCAATTAAAACCTCAAAAATACTGTGAAACCATTCAATTTCGAATTTTCAAAAACTTCTACACTCAAATATTTTAACTTAATTTGTTAGTAATTAAATTTTGAATAAATTAGTTTGATACTTTGATCTACCATAATTGTTGTAAATCACTTTTAAAAAAAGTTTTTTGGAAAAACTTCAGCTGTGTGTTTACAATAAAAATGAGTTATACTAAATATAATATAGAAAATAGAAAATAAATTAAACGTATATACAAAATAGAAAATAAAATTTACTAAATAGTTTTATATTATAAACTATATTGGCTTGTAATTTTATAGTACTTTAAAACCTTTTTGAATGTTTTTCGCATTTCTTTAGTAGCTTTTAAACAACTGAAGCATTTTCTCAATACTGAAGTAAGATTTTTCTATAAGCTCTTTTTTTATAAGTTTATATAAAACTCCATTACTTAATTACATTTTTAATGATAATTAAAATTCCAACTTCTTTTAGAGGTTTTGAAATCTAAATTGTTTTTCAGACAAGAACATAATAATTAAATAAATATATAAACCAATAAGAAAGCGTGCTGAGAAAAATATATAAACCAAAAAGACAGCATGCTAAGAAAAATGTATAAACCAATAAGACAGCATGCTAAGAACAACCCTTGGAGTTAGGGTCGGCATTCGCCAATGCCAACCTCATTGCCAACCTAGAGTGTTTGAGGTCGGTAAAAATTGTTGACCTCTTTTCTATCTATTATGGTAACACCTTTGAATCAAATTTTTTTCTGCTGACCTGCTGCCGATCTCTAAAAGATTGAGGATTTTATTCCGAGGGTTGTAAGAAAAATATATAAACCAATAAAACAACACGATAAGAAAAATATATAAACCAATATAACAGCATGCTAAGAAAAATGTATAAACCAATAAGACAGCATGCTAAGAAAAATGTATAAACCAATAAGACAGCATGCTAAGAAAAATATACAAACCAATAAGACAGTATACTAAGAAAAATATATAAACCAATAAGACAGCATGCTAAGAAAAAAGTTGTAATAATAAATGTTACAAAAGAAACACATAAAAAATCCTTAAAAAGATTATAAAGTATTATAAAATTAAATAAATGTAAATTTCTATTTTATATTTGCATTTAATTTATTTTATTTTTTCTATATTATATTTAGTAAAACACATTTTTATTATTAACACACATTTCAAGTTTTTCAAAAAATTTTTTTTAAAAGGAATTCACTCTATGACATTCTGATTGAAAAACTTCAATCCTATTAGTTAATTAAACTTAAAAAAGTTAATAAGAAAAATTACCTGATTGTGATCCTAAAGAACTGCCAACATTTATTTTGCTTATAAATGGATCTAAAATAAAATTTACTCATTTAAATTTATTTAATTACCTGTATATTTAAATCTATTTAATTACCTCTATATATATATATATATATGTATATATATATATATATATATATATATATATATGTATATATATATATATATATATATATATATATATATATATATATATATATATATATATATATATATATATATATATATATATATATATAAGGTCTACAAAAGTAACAACTTGAAGGATTTTCAAATTTTGCCATCTTCTACTTTGAGCAATAATGGTACAAAAGCTGTACTGAAAAGATTTTCTTCACTCTTAAGTTCTATACTTGTGCTGCTTGTCTTGTATTTCTGTTTATAAATACTTAGGCTTGATGCTTCATCAAAACCTATCTTTCCATAAAAAAATACAAATATTTTGTTACCTTGACTACAACTTGGCATATCAATCATTTCAGTTATTCTACTCACAGTGTGATCTAACATGTTTTGAAGAGAACACTTTGCAGAAATTTCAGAAAAATTTATATTCTCAGGATAGCATTTCAATTTTTCCACGAAAATATCATGCAAGGTAGAATAAATATGTACATTGTGTACAAGAGCTGAGTTTCTTATCATTTGATATTGTTTATCGCTGATATCATTATTCATTTTTAATTCAAGAGCTTCCTCTACACTCATATTAATGGGAAATTAATAAGAAAGGTTTTATCCAAGGTTTTATCCAATGTTTCATCAACTTTTTTCTATCTCTAAAACATTAGACATTACTTTTTTAAATAGAGGTTTTTTTTTTCTCCAGCAACATTTGCACTTTTTGCAAATGTTGCTAAAGTGAAGCTAAAAATAGAGCTTCTATAACTATATATATATATATATATATGCTCAATATTCTTTTGAGAATATAAAATATTCTCAAAAGAAGCTTACACCTTTTAGGGTGTCTGCTGCATCATATTGAACTGCCACTGCAACACATTATAATTGAATTAGATGAAAACACAAATGGCTGTAAGCCTTACAAGGGGTCTATTAGAGAAGCTAAACAAAATATTCACGATCAGCCATAGCTTTAATTTTTACCCATTGAGTTAGAGGTATAGTTGTTTGTTAACATTAAAGTTTTAATCAATCTAAGTACAGACTGTAAGAGCACTGCATCAGTATCTCAAAAACTTTATGAGTACTGCGTCAGTATGTCAAAAGCTTCTAAAAGCAAAAAAAGCATGGACTAGTTTGTCATGCCAACTTTGGCTTTAAGAATAATGGTGTATGTTAGGACTGAACAACCATCTCCTAAGTTATTAGCAATAACTAAATTTTTTGTTTAAGTTTATTTTGTGCTGCAGGATGAAAATCGAAATGAAAAAAACCGAGCCTTCAAATAAACTTTAAAAATAAAAGCATTAAGAAAGACATTCAAGCCAAACCTAAGCCTAAATCAGTATAATGAGGAATAATTTTGATGCTAGTTCCTAGAATTATTTTGTTTCTGTTGATGGCTCCCTACAACTTCAGAAAAGAGTCAGCAAGACTATTGAATCAAACCTAAAACTACAGTGCATTGTTAAAAAACCTAAAACTACAGTGCATTGTTAAAAAAAACTGGAGAATGCAGCTCTTTAACAAGTATTGAGCCGAGGTAAACCTGTTCTTTCTTTGTGTCAAAAATTCAATCCAGAATAAACAACAACTTATTTGAGATTTTTTGTAACCCTTAGAAACCCTTTGTTTCCTGAAAATTCATTATTTTATCAATTTTTATTTCAACTAAATCAAAATCAATAAATTTTTAAGGATGTTCATTAAATCAAGTTATCAAAGTTTTTATAGTTAATTTATTTTTTACTAATTTTACAAATATTTACCAGTAAAATATACTTTTTTTATTGATTTACTGATAAATTTCAAAGTTGGTAAAAGTTTAAACCTATTCCTTACACCTTCTTAGATTATCATTCACTACTGACCTATCATGGAAACCATATATACAATCCACTGAAAAGTTTGAAAAGTTATGATTTCATTCTCTACTTCTAAGAAATCTCTTGTTTGTCCCTGTATAGAATATTATTGTCATATTTGGGCTGGTTCTTCTAATGATGCTTTTTCTCTTCTAAACAAGGTCCAAAAGCGGATTGTAAACACAGTTGAGCCTGCTCTAATTGCCTAGCTCGAGCCATTCTCTCATTGTCATGAGGTTGCACCTTTTTCTTTTTTTGCAAATTTTACATAGTCATTCTCACTTGACTGAATAGATAGTAATATCTTTAGGAGATGTCTCTGGAGATGTGTTCTATGTTATGTCCATGTTATGTCTAGTCTAGCTTTAAGGGTGAGTTCTATGTTGTTAAAGAACATTAAATATATAACTGAATTGTTAATATATGAGCTGTTATTTAAAAATTAAGCCAATAATTTTAAATAAATAAAAAAATACCTTCAATAACAAACCGATGATACCCATATCTTTGAGGATCACGCAAGAGAGGTGCATGCTGTCTAATGTTAACAATCATTGATTTATGGTGAAATGTTACCAAAAAGTAACTAAATAAAAGTGTGCATATATATATATATATATATATATATATATATATATATATATATATATATATATATATATATATATATATATATATATATATATATATATATATATATATATATATATATATATATATATATATATATATATATATATATATATATATATATATATATATATATATATAGGTTAATATACCTATGTATATTAGAGTGCCACTAAAAACAACTTTTTTTGAAATTGTCTGCTGCCACCCCCTAAATGTGTTCTATGTAATAGATTTACACTAAATTAAAAAAATTTTTGAACAAAAAAATATTTTAGGGGTTGCTCAACACCCTTACACATCAAACCGGTCCCTAATATTTTGAAAAAAATTAGGGACCTCACAAAGGGTCTCAAAAGAAGTGAAATTCTATGAAGACTTCAAAAATAATAAAAACAATTTATGGAAACATGAATTAAATAAGTTTATTTAAAAAAAAACTTTGAAAATATGTACTTTAAATTTTTTGTCAAAAAATTATAGTTTTTAGGCCATACTAGTCATACATTCAAAAATATTTATATAAAATGATTATTTTTGAAATTTTTCTAAAATTTCACTTCTTTTGAGACCTAACATGATATACTTTTAAAGAACTTTTTTTTTCAAAATATTAGGGACTCCTTTGATGTTTAAGGGTCTTGAGCAACCCCTAAATAATTTTTTTATTTAAAATTTTTTCTTTATTTAGTGTTAATTTATTACATAGAACACATTTAGGGGGTGGCAGCAGACAATTTAAAAAAAAGTTGTTTTTAGTGGCACTCTAATATATATAGAGTATAAAATAATTTATTTATAAATTAAATAATTATTTATAAATTAAATTTATTTATAAATTAAATAATTTAGCGCACAATTAAAATCATATTTAAAAAAAAAAAAGATAACAAATGCATAATTACACTATGTAATACATATTTTGTTCCTGACTTCTAAGTTCAATTGCTTATGTCTAAAGTATGTGAAAAAACTTTGCTTACACAATAGCACAAAGAAAACTTTTTTGTGAAATCAGAACAATTTTTTTGTTTATTTTTGTCATTATGATCAGGTAAAAACAAAAATTACACAAGGAATAAACAAACAGTCAGAAACTACTCAACAAAGTTTAGAAATGTTTAGCTATTCAAGATTTACAATTGTACTATGAATCATTCTTTCAAAGTAGCTTCCATCATATTTTTGTTATACTGTCCATGATAATGACGTTCAAAGTCCAATATATCTTGATGAAAGCACTTGCCTTGCCCCTTGAAGTAAACGCCCATGTTCTCCATGACTTTGTCAAGACACGAATCAAGGATATGGACTTTTAAAGACACTCTGCATTCTATTTTAGCATAATTCTTTATGAAAGTCTGTACCTCCACAAAATTTTCAGCTTTGTGATTACCTAGGAAGCCTTGAACAACTGCAGCAAAACTGCTCTAAGCCACTTTTTCCATCCTACTTAACAGCTTTGCAAAATCCTCAGATTTAATGATCTTATTGGTCTGATTAATATAATATACCTGCTCTGACCTTAGCCTTGGACAGCTTTGGAAAAAGTCTTGGAGGTATTGAAATGCTCCTTGTCAAGAAGTGACAAACTGCTTAATGAGGCTTAACTTGATGTGCAGTGGAGGCATACCAGCAACTTCCACTTCAAATTGCTCTTCCCAAACAGAAAACTTGGTCCGTTGTGGCCAGTCCTTTGTGCGATAATGCACCTTAGTATCAGGGCTGTCCCAGAGACAGAGGAAACAAGAAAATTTCATCAAACCTCCTTGAATGATACCATTTTGAAGTTACAGATGACCTCCATAGTCTTTATACTTTTATGCACTCAGCAATATTTTGAAACTGGTGTAGTCCTCTTTGAAATGCATAGAGTGGACCATCAGGAGAGACGGGTAGTTATTTTCTTTGTGAAGCAACACGGCATTGAAGCTCGAGGATGAATTGTCTATGAATAGACCCCATTCAATAGGATTACATGCAATATCTATAGCCTGGAATAGATCAGCAACATTGTTGCAAAAACACAGCCCATCATGCTGACTGAAAAAGTTGGAGAACATTTGATGTCGCTTTGTCTGATCTGTGACTTGTACAATACCATTAACCAGGTTCTATTGTTTGAGTCTGGATATCAGAAGCTCAGCATTTGATTTCACCTGCGGAATCCTAGTCCATATCATCAGTATCTGTCTTACTGCTGCCTCCTGAAAATGGTCAATACTGCCTAGGAGAAAAGTTGGAACAGGCAGATTGGGGCTGTAGAGATGTGACGCATTTTTTTGGTTCTTGTTTTTTTGGTTTTTTTGATCGTTTTTTTGGAAAAAAAACATAGGGGTCTGTTTATTTGTTTTTTTTTTGGAAATATTCAAAAATTCATTGTTTAAGTTACTAAATTTAACTTTAATGGCAATATCTTAATTTATATTTTAATTTCTGATTTAAATAGGACAATAAATACTGAAATTTACTGAATTATTTATGGTTTTGGTATATTAACACAGTTAATATACCAAAAGCCAGGGCGCAAGATAGAACATATATACCTACACTACACGACTTATTACAAAACTTTGTAAATTACAACTTTTGAAATGAATTAGATGAAATAAACTTAAGCATTGAAATTAATAAAAATAAGTTAAAAGACATCTAAGCAAGAAGCACCTGTTCAGTTTACCATCAAGTTTTTTCTTGCAGTATTCGCATGGAAAATGCAGTGCCCAAGATTTGTCTTTGTACCAACCAACACATCAAAGTATGCCTTGTAGGCCTCGCATATTATACAGCCTGCTTCCACGGAATATTTTTTTGCTCTTGTCATTATGAAATGTCTGAATGCAAACAATTTCTTGATGCTATATCGAATAAATAACTTTTCTTTAACTAGGCTGGTTGAGCCAAGCCACAGCCGTGGTGCCGCTGTTTTTTGGTGGAGCTAAAGCCGCAAAAATCGAGCGGCTCTTGGCTCTCGTCTTTTTTTTTAAAGGAATAGAATGTATATTATTTAATTTTTTACTCTAGGCAAACTTTATTCATTTATTGTTTAACATTGAATTTCTATTTTTTTAAAATATTTTTTCTAACAGTTTCGGTCTTGCCAAAACGTAATAAAAATGATTATTTTAACAATTTTGTACTTAACAAAATAATATCCTTTAATAGTATTTCTTAATATGCTTTATTAAAAAAAATGTAAATTATATATGGAAACATTACAGCTTTATATTATATTTTTATATTATATTATATGCCTTATATTATATTATGCTTTAAATTATAGTATGCTTTTTTTTTTTTATATAATAAATAAAATTCACAAAAGTTATTTATTGTTGTTTATTTATTATTTAGAGAGTTTAATCTATAGTAAGAAGTTTTATATTTTAAATTTGTATTTTTTTGAATATAGGTTATAGGAAATAGGTTTTAAAATGCATTTTTAAACATATCAAAACTATACATTTTTAAATATAAATTTTAAAAGGTGTCTACATATTAATGTTTTAACTTTTAAATTTTTATCTTTCTTCATTATGAAGTCCATTAAAATAAATAATCATTTTCAAACCAGATTTTTGAAAACGTGCCTTTTTAATGTATGACATTTAGTTTTCCACAAAACAAAACATTTCCTAAAAAATGCTGTAGAAAATACAAATGTTTTCAAAAATAAAAAACATTCATTTTTAAATAAGATAATTAAATAACTCACTGTAGAAAACCAATAAACAAAACAGCAATAGAAGCAGTGTTCTTACTTTTCCAACATTGAACCTATGGTAAAATTAAAAATTGTTATTAATAATAATCATGAGTTATAATTTATTAAAAAGTTATATATGACCATGACTTTAGCAATGGTTATCTTTACCTAATTATAAATTTTATTATTTTTATTTTTATTAAGTTTAGTGCTAAATGTAAAAGTTTATTTTTAAAGTAGGAATTGTAAGCATTGATACAATTTTATGTCCATTTGTAGATTTTTTTCTTGTATGTTTGACTTTGATTATATTTACCTGATCATAGATAAACATATTATGTTAAATGCTTAATTTTTAAATTTAAAAATATTTTATATTAGCAAAACTTATTATTAAACTATTGTTATCTAGTTAATTAAGAAATTTGCAGATACAAAAACACCATTTTCTAGCCAAATTCATATTTAAGTGAAGTTCTTGGATTCTGTCAAAAATCATTTTTAACAGCACATTTATCTTTAATATCAACATAAACAATTTTTATGTTGAAAGTAGACTTTTGTTTAAATTATTTATATTTTTGTTTGTCAGTATTATATAAAGATTTGAAAGATTATTCTAAATGTTGTTTATATGCTTTGTCTGTTCTAAGCAAACTTCTTTAAATACAATACTTTTTTATTAGTTTCTTTTTATTTAATTTAAATTTTGAAAAACTAATTTTCCCTAACTCTAGCATACTTCATTCTTCAGTTAATAATCTAAAAATTACAAACTAAAAAAAAAAACCAAATTTGTCGTTATTAGTTTTATTATAAACAAAATTATACATTGTTAATAACAAAATGCTGATATCGCAATATGAGGTTGTCTCATAAACAAGCTACTATAGATATAAAACAAATATCATATTCATCTTTCACTTCATCTTTCACAATCTTTAGTAGAGCATCTTTATTTCACAAAAGAGTAAATATACAAATTTCATGAGTTTGCTTCGTGTCTGGATGTAAGCTTAATGTCGAATTATACTTGATTATAACAAAAAACTCACTTTTAAATTAGAAAAACAGTAAAACAGTTGTTAAAAGCTGTTTTTCAAAATTCTTAAACAGCTGTTTTTTATATATTGTTTACAAAAATCCTAAACCCACAGAATATTTTTCAATGTTTATAAAAAAGAATTATTAATCTAAAATTAACAAACTTAGAAAAAAAAGTTAGTTGTTACTAGTGAAGCAACAATATACAAATATCTCATGTAAAAAAGCAAATAAAGTTTTAATAAAAATAAATAATATTTCACCAACTTCATTATAAGGTATTGAGTACATGTCTTCATTTTCCTGGTCAACTAACTTATAAACTTCATGTTCAAAACCAATAACCTTTAAAAAGATTTTAAATAAATATAAATAATAAATTTTAATAAACAAAAAAAAAATTAAAAATACATATAAAAAGCTATTAAAAAACTTCTTATTAACAAAAAACTTACTCTTATTATAGGAAGGACAGGTGGCTCGGTATGTTGAAGATAATTAATTACCATTAATACAAAACAGTATGGTGATAATCCTCCATTATCAGCATTGTCCAGACCACAAGCCTAATATAAATTTCATAAGTTTTATAACTTTAATTTATAATTATCATTAAGAATATCTAAAATGATGAAACATTAAATTAAATTTCGTATAGATTGAAACTTGCCTTACTCCACATTCTTATTAACATAGCCAGTTTAATGCATCTCTCATCAGCATTGGTGTACTTGATTATTAAATCAGATGTTTGATAACACTAAAAATCAGATATATGATAACACTAAAAATATTTTTAAATTAGTTTTTTACATACAATTTTACACAAACATCCTAAATCAAAAATAATGAATAAGAAATGGATTTAAAAAAACAACTAATTATGTTGCTTATCTATAATAGTGCAAATTTATATCTAATATATAACACTTATTTTGACATATTATTTTTCGTGAAAGAATTATTACCGGTTGTTGTGTTTCCTGAAAAAATGTAACTTATAAAACTAGCATTGTCAAATAAATATTCACATGCTTGCTAAATTATTTTGTTTAGATTAATTTTTATAAAGTTTTATAAATTTTCTTCATCTACACCATATTAAAATAATAAACCAGTTTTTCTTCTGCAGCTGAATATTTAGATTATTTCAATATTTCGATAAAAAAGTTATTAATTAGATATTATTATATTTAAAAAATTATTTTATAAAAATTAAAACTTTACTTTTCTTATTTTATCTGAACTTATATTTAAATAAATTTAAATATAAGTTCAGATAAAATAAATATATTTGTTAAGAATGACCTTATTTTATGTATTTATAAATTACAAATTGCAACTTAAAATTTTGTCACAACAATGTGCTGTTTTTAAAATTTTAACAACCTCATTAAAATATAGTTAAAATAAATGTTAACTATTTCATTAAAATACAGTATAAAAATATGTATAGAGTTATTTAAATATTACCAAATAAAAAAAAACTGGTTATCACATAATGCTCTTTGGGTAGGTTAATTGCTCTATTTCCAACACTTTATCACAAGGCCTGCTCTCCCTGTATAGTCTTTAAATTTTGAATGTGTTGAGATTAAATTAAAAGGCAACATTATCAAGTAGGCCAGTAGTTCCATTATTACAAAACTCATTAATAAAGTTATAAGAGGTTAGGCAGTGATTGTCTATTTTACTAAGAAAACATTGTTAGTGTCCCTAGCTTAAATGCTTAATGCAATAATATGACAATTAAACAACAACATCATTTTCAATTTTTCAACTTTTAAATAAGATTGCTACTAATGCACCTGTCACAAAGAGATAATTAAATCAAAATTGCATCTTATCTTACAGCTGATGGATATTATATTATGCATAGATTTAGCTGTTTGTTGTTGTATTTTCTCTGGCATGTCAATGTTTCCTTGATGAGGTGACCAGGCAGTAATTGTTGACTCAAGACACCGTCTTATTTGCATTGTATAGAGACTCTTCCATAGATTCTAGTTTGCAAGTCAAAGTATGCTTTAAAAACCCGAGATTAAAATTAGTTTTGTCAGCAGCTTTACAAGTTTAGTTTTTTAAATATAGCTGTAAACAACTTAAGTATTAATAATGCCATGTTGCACATGGATAGTGTCCCTGTTAATGTTTATGTTATGCATTGTCAAGGCCACATTAGGAGATCTAAGTTAAGACTTTAGGTTAATTAGCAAGACTGAGACAACTGCATAGCTTATTGCTTGGTATGACATGCTCTATTTAAAATTGAGAAAAGTTCTTTTTAAACTTAAATCATGCCCAAAGTAACCCAAAATAACAAACATAAAAAACCATTCCCACCACTTAACTGCTTCAACAAATCTTTTACAAAAATTTATGGTCTTTGAAATAACCTTTCGTCAGTTGAATCTTACCTCTTACAAAATTCATCAGACTTACTTGCTCTATGTAAGACTAATTTAATATTCGGCTTTTTCTTCTTCAGATCACAGTATTGATGGGTGCTATTTTTTGATTTGCAAAGACTCCAATCGTCACTCGCTTGGCTTGGAGGTATATTTACACATCAATTCACCTATTTGTCAAGGAATCTGGTTTTAATCATTTGATCTTTTTTTTAAGTGTTTTCGCTTAGCTCCATTCTATCACTTTTCTCTTTCTTCTTTACCTTACTCCATCTTCTCAAAGCTGCACTCTTTTAGATGAAATTTCTCCTCAAACGACTATGCCTTTTCTTATTACCCCTCTGCCAATATTGTTGTTATTGGTGACTTTAATGCTCATCACGCTAAATAGCTTATTTTTAACACCACCAGCCCTGCTGGCACTAAAGCCTATAACTTCTGCATTTCTCAATCTCATATTCAGATATTAAACTTTGTAATTCATTTTCCAGACAACCCTAATCACTTACCTTGATTCCTTGATTTGTGTTTTGTCTCTTGACTATAGCTTGTGTTCAGTTTCTTCATTTACTCCTTAAGGTGGTTCCAACCATGCAATGATCTCTAAAAATCTTTCATCTTCCATCTTGTTTTTCTTCTTCTTAAATGCGGCTCCTACATGACATCCTTGATCCAGGCAGGAATGGAAGCTTTTATTCCTTCTCTTTGATTATAATTTAAACATCATTCTACTCCTTGGTTTTCAAGCAAACTAAGATCAACACATTTTATTTACATTTTTGTAAAAAATTCAAGAAACTTTAACAACATCATTAACAAAAGAAGGTTTCTAACATTCCATCTCATTCATGGGACTAATATTATTACCACCCCCAAGGTTAAGGCTAAACTATTGTGCATTAGATGGAGGTGGCAAGGCTAAGGCTATTGCTCTTGACACATAAAGCTTTCACAACATTTGTCATGCTGGTCTTCTACATAAGCTTGCTTCATATAGAGTATCTGGGAAAGAATTTTCTGGGAAAAGATTAGCAAATAGTTTTTTTCTAACCACTTTATCAAAGTCATCCTCGAAGGTCAACATTCTTCTTTATTTCCAGTAACTTCTGGGGAAAAAAGTCTTGCCTTTTCAATCGCTTAGAACAGGTAGCTGATCTTGAATCTGATCTCACTTCTGCAACAGATTGGGGCTTGCAATGGCTTGAAAATTTTAACTCCAACAAAATTCAAATATTTACTGTAAACCACTATCGCAATTCTGTCGACATTTCTATATCAGTGAACAACAACCCTTTCTTCTTTACGTCTTCCTAGACTATTATTTACTACTATGGAACACTGTTATCATATTTGGGCTGGTTTTTCTAATGATACTCTTTCTCTTTTAGACAATCCAAAACACATTTTAAACATAGTTGGACCCACTCTCTCCCATCTTCATGTTTTCTTGACTCATGCAATCTTCAACTTTTCGAGTCTTTTGTTTTTTGCTATATTTCTTTGCTATTTAACTTTATTCTTTGTTTTCTAGTTTTTTAGTTAAGTTTCTCTATTAATTTATTAGTAAAATGTTTACAAGTAAAATTTGTTAATTTTCAAAATTTTTAAGTTAATTGGTTTTGCTGAGAATATTATTTTCAATACTACTCAATTGAAGAGTTAATTTAATAATAAGTTATTTTATTAAAACAAAGTGTTTGTATAATTATAGACACAAAATATTTGTTTTTGCTTGTCATAAACTATGGTATATTAGTAGCGATATTTTGCTTTACAAGTTATTTCAAATTTATTTCAGATGTATATATATATATATATATATATATATATATATATATATATATATATATATATATATATATACATCTGAAATAAATTTGAAAGTTCAGGAGTCTGGAGTCATAGCATGCCATGACATGAGCAATTAGCTGACAGGTGACAGCACACAGGCAGAATTTTGTTGACAAGTGCCATTTTGCAGCAGACAAAACAAGTGCAACTTTTTTAGTTTGTTTCATTTTCTTAAGTCTGGTCCGTGTCAACGTCATGAAAGTTTTTTAATAATTAAAGAAAGTATCCAGAAGTTTCCAGAGGCAAGCAGAAGCATCCAGAAGTTTCCAGAAGAAGCATCTGGAAGCATCCAGAAGTATCCAGAAACATTCAGAAGCATCCAGAAGTCTCCAGAAGCATCGAAAAGAAGCATCTAGAATCTTCCAAAACAGGTTCACACAGGTTCATTTTACTATATAAGAGACATGTAAATTAACATGCAATGTAATTCAGTCAGTATATGGAAGTCAATCAGTCAGTATAATCAAGACAGTTTATTGAAATGAGTTTTATCAAAGTGTTTTATCGAAGAACATCAATACAAGATACAAGATAATACAAGAAGTGAAATACAACAAGTGTTTCATTACATCAATACAGTCCACACCCAACCAAGACGTTGTGTTCCACAGACCATTATTGTATCATCACAAGGTAAATGTAACACAGTAAGCCTTGAGAAGCGTGGTTACTTATTTTTATTACTTTTATGACTTCAAGTGCAAAAATGGCTCCCGACAGTCTTGGATTGGAACTAAGAAAAAAAATTATTGGCGATTACGTAAGTGGAATGTCACAAAAAAAAATTGTGATAAATATCGCGTAAAAAAATGGACCGTATCAAGACTTTGTTCCAAATATAATTCTACAGGGAAGTTGGCAGCAGATAACAAAGGTGGAAGACCGCGTTCCACCACTTATAGAAAAGATTCTAAGATTATCAGATCCGTCAAGAAGGATCCCTGGATACCATCAGTTAAGATACAAAAGCAATAAGAGCTGCCTGTATCAGACCGAACAATCAGACGATGTGCTGTTGAAACCGGATTGTTTTCTCGATGCCCTGCAAAAAAACTGCTGATTTCACTAAAAAACCAGAAGAAAAGACTCCTGTTTGCTACATCTCATATTTACTGGAATGTGCAGAAATGACAAACTGTCCTGTTCAGTGATGAATCGAAGTTCAACATCATTGGGAGCGATGGCATTTGCCGTGTACGTCAAACAGCTGGAAAACGCCTTAATTTACGTTACTGCCATAAGACCATGAAGCATGGTGGAGGCAGTGTAATGGCATGGGGGTGTTTTTCTGCTAACAGTCTAGGTCCAATTTATTGAATCGATGGAATAATGGACTGTTTCATGTATAAAAATATCCTGAAAGATGTTATGTTACCTCATGCTGAATGGAATATGCCAATAAAATGGGTTTTTCAGCAAGACAACGATCCAAAACACACTGCAAAAGTAGTCAAGCAGTAACTTCAAGAAACCACCTATCGGTGATGGATTGGCTGCCTCA